TGGCTCTCCTGAGGTTTCAATCAAGTTGAGCATAAATCCTTCACAAAACAGCTATCGCACGGATAATTCGGGGCATTCAGAAAGTTCACATGTAGCTTTGGATCAAACAAACATGCAGGTGAAAGGATCTGGTTCAGATGCTTTTCGAGTGAGTGTTTCTAGTGCCCCCAGTACTTCCAGTCATGGTTCTGCACCGGATGATTGTGATGCTTTAGGGGATGTATACATATGGGGTGAGGTTATATGTGATAATGTTGTCAAGGTTGGGCCAGGAAAGAATGCTAGTTCAGTGAGTATGAGAGCAGACGTGCTTATTCCCAGGCCATTAGAATCTAATGTTCTGGATGTCCATCATATTGCTTGTGGGGTCAGGCATGCTGCATTAGTCACCAGGCAAGGTGAAGTCTTTAGTTGGGGTGAAGAATCTGGGGGGCGGCTTGGCCATGGAGTTGATGTTACTCAACCGCGTCTTGTGGAATCCTTATCCTTTTGCAGAGTTGATTTTGTGACGTGTGGAGAGTTTCACACTTGTGCTGTTACGATGGCTGGTGAACTTTATACATGGGGAGATGGTACGCATAATGCTGGCCTTTTGGGTCATAGCACTGATATCGGTCACTGGATACCAAAAAGAATTTCAGGTCCCCTTGAGGGACTTCAAGTTTCGATGGTCACTTGTGGTCCATGGCACACTGCCTTGATAACTTCAACTGGACAACTCTATACATTTGGGGATGGAACCTTTGGTGTTTTAGGCCATGGTAATCGGGAAAATGTCTCATACCCGAGAGAGGTTGACTCTCTTTCAGGGTTGAGGACAATTGCCGTTGCTTGTGGAGTGTGGCATACTGCTGCTGTGGTTGAGGTTATTGTAACACAGTCTAGTGCTTCATCTGGAAAATTATTCACGTGGGGTGATGGTGATAAAAACCGTCTTGGACACGGTGACAAAGAACCTCGACTGAAACCTACTTGTGTGCCTGCACTCATCGATTACAATTTTCACAAAATTGCCTGTGGACATAGTTTGACTGTGGGCCTGACTACATCCGGGCATGTTTTCACAATGGGAAGTGCAGTCTATGGTCAGCTTGGAAATCCTCAGTCTGATGGAAAGCTACCTTGCTTGGTGGAAGACAAGCTTGCTGGTGAATCTATTGAAGAAATTGCTTGTGGTGCATATCATGTGACTGTCTTGACATCCAAAAACGAGGTCTACACATGGGGAAAAGGAGCCAACGGGAGGTTGGGCCAGGGAGACATAGAAGACCGGAAAAAGCCAACACTAGTTGAAGCTTTAAAGGATAGGCACGTTAAATATATTGCATGTGGATCAAATTTCACAGCTGCTATATGTCTTCATAAATGGGTTTCTGGTGCTGAGCAGTCTCAGTGCTCAGCTTGTAGACAGGCTTTTGGCTTCACGAGAAAGAGGCATAATTGCTATAATTGTGGACTAGTACACTGTCATTCTTGTAGTTCTAGAAAAGCATTACAGGCTGCATTGGCACCTAATCCTGGAAAACCATATCGTGTTTGTGATGCCTGTTTTGCTAAACTAAGTAAATTAGCAGAAGCCGGGGTCAATAGCCAGAGAAATGCTGTACCACGCCTTTCGGGTGAAAACAAGGACAGATTGGACAAGGCTGATCTGCGATTGGCCAAGTTAGGAATGCCATCCAATTTTGATTTGATTAAACAGTTAGATACAAAAGCAGCTAAACAAGGAAAGAAATCGGATGCGTTCTCTTTAGGCCGTTCCTCTCAAGTGCCTTCTCTGTTACAGCTACGAGATGCTGTAATGTCTACAGCTGTTGATGCTCGTCGAACAGTTCCAAAACCAGTTCTTGCACCATCTAGTGTTAGTTCCAGGTCTGTGTCCCCCTTCTCAAGAAAATCTAGCCCTCCCAGATCTGCAACACCAGTCCCTACAACTTCAGGACTTTCTTTTTCCAAAAGCATTACAGATAGTTTGAAGAAGACTAATGAACTTCTGAATCAGGAAGTACATAAATTGCGTGTACAGGTACATTCCAAATGGCAATCTTTGTTTCATCTTTTAGCTTTAATTTCTCAAAGTTAATCTTTTTTATTTTGATGATAGGTCGAGAGCCTCAGAAATCGATGTGAACTGCAAGAATTGGACATCCAGAAATCAGCAAAGAAAGCTGAAGAAGCAAAGGCATTAGCTGCAGAGGAATCTGCTAAATGTAAAGCTGCAAAAGAAGTGATGCGGTCACTTGCTGCACAGGTGAGGTTGAGCTTTAGATTTGTATTGGCATCTCGTAAATTGAAAAATTACCTCTTCGCTTGAAAGTTCACTGGAAGAGAATTTTTTGGGTGGTTATTCCTGTGATCAATTATGTGCCTGGTGTTTATACTGTGTTGGATATCACGTGGAATTCTTTAGAACTTAGCCCTTGTATCATTAAATTTTTATTTATGATCTGTAAGGTAAAGGTCAATGGCTTCTCTCATTTTCTCAATTTCCAGCTCAAAGATATGGCAGAAAGACTGCCACCCGGGGCTTATGATTCTGAAAGCATCAAGCTGGCTTACCTACCAAATGGTGCGGAACCAAATGGCATACACTATACTGGTGCAAATGTAGAAAGGAATTCAAGATCTGATATGATCAATAGCTCAAACACAACTTCCCACCTTGGAATTGACTCCACTACAGTAGATAGAATGAGCAATGAAACTAACTCGGGTGCTCAGGGACTTAGATTTTCCGCTACCAATGGGATGAATGAACGCTCGGATGTCAGACTTCCTAATGGAGGTGAAGATGTTCTAGATTATAGGAATAACGCTGAAAGTATCAACACTAAAGAATCTGTGCCTCAAGACGGTGAACATGTCTTGAAATCAAGAAACTCAATGGTTCCTGGTAATGCTAGTCAAATTGAGGCTGAGTGGATTGAACAATACGAACCTGGTGTGTATATTACACTTGCAGCCCTTCGAGATGGAAATAGGGATCTCAAACGTGTCCGCTTCAGGTATCTGGCTTCCTAATTTTTTATTCGAGCCTCAATATATTTTTCTTTTAAAAAAGGGTATATATATTATATAATTGGTTAGATAAGATTTTCTTTAACTATTAGTTTAGTATAATTCACTAAATATCACTTAATTTTCAGTTTAGATGAGACTTTCTTTCTTTAACTATTATAATTCACCATAGCTTAATTTTTCTGAAAATTGTTCTTAAATCTCATTTAATGCTATTGATTATGGTCTAAGCAATGTTTGTTCATGTAGTTGCAACTTCATCAATTTCAGAACAGTTGTAATTAATGTTGTGATGTGAATAAGAATTAACTTCTTTCTTCTATATGCAGCCGGCGAAGATTCGGGGAGCACCAAGCGGAGACTTGGTGGTCAGAGAATCGAGAAAAAGTTTACGAAAAATACAATGTTTGTGGATCAGACAAGTCATCAGTTTCCGGCCAGGATATGCACAGGTTCGAGGGAGCTGTTTCACCATCTTCCCTAATATAGGTACAATGGAAAGAGAAATTCTCCATTTATGCCAATGCAGGTTCTCATAGTGATGGAGGAAATAGACATCCATCTTTTTTTGCCCTTCCCCCATTTTTCTTACCCCTTCCCTTTAAATTTATCTTCTTCCTAATTTATTTCTGGGGAATCCATCGTTACTTGCTGTATTGTAGTGTATATAGACATGTCGATTATTATATGCTAGAAAGTTTTTGTGCCCGGTTTTCTGCCCATTTTCTGCGTAGCTTATACAGCGGGTTTCTATTACCACTCGCATGATTTCCCAGTTCGTGATTTTGTCGAATCAAACAATCAGAGAAGCCTTTCTTGTTTTTGCTTAGCCAAACACACTCTTAAGATTTCTTTAGGGTCTATCTGAGACACCTATCGACATTCATCCAGTGTGTGTATGTTCATACGCGGCCAACAATTTGTGAGAGGTCTGCGCGAACCTCTCGGAATAGGTGATTTATTTTTATTTACTTTTAAAAGATGTAAGATCAAAGTAGAGGCAGGAGCAGTTGTGGTTATGTTGAAAGGGAGAGTCAACTGAGTGGTGCACGAGATTCTTTTAATAATCAATCAAAAGAATAAAATAGAAAACATATTGATGCAAGTGCAACATTGTTTATTATTCTGGCAAAGGTAATGCAGAAAATGACTGGTTTTTTGTCAATTAGGAGGCAATGTTACTTGAAAATGGTACATAATGGTGTGTTAGTACCAAAATATGATGATTTTCGAAGTCACATAAGTTTTGATTTCACTAAAAATGTAACGAGTACCGGTGCAGGCTGGGGCGGTCTCGATCCCAAACCGAGCTAAATAACTGATTTATAATCGAGTTGACTTGTCCATGAATTTTTTTAGATTCAATAGTAGTTGGTGATTTCAACCAACTGTATCTTGAATTCCCTCCTATGGTAGAAACAAAAGTTCAAATTATGTACCAAACTTTGACATTATGCTCCTTTATTTTAAGCATCCTTCCCCATTTCTCAGTTGACTTCAAAGAAAGACATTGTGCATAAGTGGTTTTGTTTAGCATGTTTGACATATTATTCAAATTTAATAATATATTTTGATTTCTCCTTAAATCAATCAATCAATCAACTAAATTTAATGGCCCACATTAGTACTTATTCAAGATTTTTCAAAAGTTCGCCTTCTCGAAAATGTGTCTAGAAATTTAAGTATTCATGCATTAACATGGTATATGATAAGCGTAAGTAAACATGTTTTGAGTAGCTCGTGCGCTTGAACTGAAATCTATGGGATGAATCCTCTACTAGTACATTGACACTTGTGTGATCGACTCTAACTTTGATCGTCACAAAAGGAGATGCTACTACACGTATGTATAGTTGTATATATGTATATTCATTTTTTCAGGCTATCAAGTAGCTTAACAAAGCATTCCAATAGATTCCCAAAAGAACACCTAAAAGAAAACTCACATGTAAAACTTTTGACACTTTCTATACATTACATCTTCAAGGTGACCCCTGCCAGCCCCGTAATCCAATGTCATTGTGCTTCCTCGAAGGACCTGAAGGCGGCACCGGCATTCCTTTCGGCAAATACCCGTAAAAGTTGTCCGGCGGAACAAGAGATTTAGGCTTAACCTTAAGAAATTGTGTATGCCTAGCACTTTGAACTTGATCAACCTGCTGAAATATTAACAAAATGACTAGTAATATCAACATAGTGGGCGTTATTAGAGGATCTTTAGCCATCACAGAAGAGGGCTAACAAGTTTTGAGAAGAAAGAAAATGGAGGAGAGAGCGTGGGTGCGTGCATGAGCAGGTTCCAAGATTTGAAATAATATAGAGAGTGATATATGGGGTTGAAATATACTTATATAGCAATAGTTGGTATGGCTAAACTTTTCTCGTAATTGCTCGTCTTTCTTGAATTATAATTAGTCAGCGCATAAAGTTTCAATTAGTGAAGAAACAATTATTTATTATACGTTTAATATTGTCAAGAACTCTCTGCTAAACATACTCTAAAAATGTTACGCGTGAGCATATATGGGAAAACAAAACCGGCCAATGGAGTGGTAGTCAAGATGAATAAAGCAATTATTTTTTCTTTCCTTTTGGGTGGTGGTGGAGGGATTTGAACAGGTCTCAGGAATACTTCTCCGGCTATATATGAAACCATCAATTTGATGATGCTAATTATTTCATTTAAAAGATAAAGTTATTACGGCCCACTCAACCTTGGGGATTTGTAAGGGGGAAAAATTTATGGCTCGGGTGTGTAGTTTGTCATTTTAAAAAAT